ACCTGCTGGGAAGCAGACAGAATGGAAAGAGAGAGAACCATTTGATTTGACAGATTATGAGCTCTTTCATGGACTTGATCAAAGCGGCTTCAGTGGATTGGTGGGGATAAAGCCAGATTACAAGAGGTCAAAGAATTGGCCGGGCACGGTGGCTCATGCCTGTAATCCCAGCACTTTGGGAGGCAAAGGCAGGCAGATCACCTGAGGTCAGGAGTTTGAAACCAGCTTGGCCAATGTGGCAAAACCCCGTCTCTACCAAAAATACAAAAATTAGCTGGGCGTGCTGGTGGGTGCCTATAATCCCAGCTACTCAGGAAGCCAAAGTGGGAGAATCATTTGAACCGGGAGACAGAGGTTGCAGTGAGCCGAGATCACGCCACTGCACTCCAGCCTGGGTGACTGAATGAGACTCCATCTCAAAAAAATAAGAGATTGAAGAGTCCATTAAAGGTGAGGGAGTGGAGACAGCAGGTGTAGATCACCCAGAGTTGCCCGTCTACTCTAGAATGATGCGCATCTATGAGTTCTCTCCCTTGTCACTCTTGAGGGCAAGGACCATACCCTGGTGATTTCTGAGCCATAAATGGAGTCTGGCCAGTGCATAGCAGGAGCTCAGCACATTTATGTCATGGATGGATAAATGGATGAATGGATAATGCATTGTTTGGGTCGAAACGGCCTTTTCTGGTAGAGATAGTAGCTGTATGTTTTTGAAGCATTTAAGAAAACAAAAAAAAGTCAACCCCAAAGGCCATAGGCTCTGTGTCCCTTCTCCCAGCTAACCACAAGGAGCAGTTGCGTGTGGGCCTGGGGCACAAGCCTCGAGTGTCACCCAGGCTGGAGTGCAGTAGCATGATCTCGGCTCACTGCAACCTCCACCTATTGGGCTCAAGTGATTCTCCTGCCTCAGATTCCTGATTAGCTGGGACTATAGGCGCGCATCACCACGCCTGGCTAATTTATTTATTTATTTATTATTTATTTATTTTTTTTTGAGACGAAGTTTCACTCTATCACCCAGGCTGGAGTGCAGTGGTACAATTTAGGCTCACTGCAACCTCTCTCTCCTGGGTTCAAGCAGTTCTCCTGTCTCAGCCTCCCGAGTAACTGGGACTACAGGCGCATGCTACCATGCCTGGCTAATTTTTGTATTTTTAGTAGAGATGGGGTTTCACCATATTGGGCACTCTGGTCTTGAACTCCTGACCTCAGGTGGTCCACCCGCCTTGGCCTCCCAAAGTGCTGGGATTACAGGTGTGAGCCACCACGCCCAGCCTTTTTTTGGATTGTTAGTAGAGACGGGATTTCATCATGTTGGGCAGGCTGGTCTCGAACTCCTGGCCTCAAGTGATCCACCCATCTCGGCCTTCCAAAGTGCTGGGATCATAGGCGTGAGCACCGCGCCTGACCCAAAAACCACATTACTGAGTCCCTTCTGCCGCCTCTCACATGCCCTGTGGCTTTGGATAAATCCCTTCCTCTTTCTTATAAGTGACCTGCGTGGCGGCTCACAACTGTCATCCCAGCATTTTGGGAGGCCAGAGTGGGAGGATCACTTATGCCCAGAAGTTTGAGACCAGCCTGATAGCAAGACCCCATCTCTACAAAGAAAAAAATAAGTAGGCTGGGCACAGTCGCTCATGCCTGTAATCCCAGCACTCTAGGAGACCGCGAAGGGCAGATCACTTGAGGTCAGGAGTTTGAGACCAGACTGGCCAACATGATGAAACCCCATCTCTACTTTAAAAACTACAAAAATTAGCCAGGTATGGTGGCACGTGCTTTTAATCCCAGCTACTCGGGAGACTGAGGCAGGAGAATCGCTTGAACTAAGAAGGCGGAAGTTGCAGTGAGCCAAGATCGAGCCACTGCACTCCAGGATGGCCGACAGAGCGAAACTCCATCTCAAAAAAACAAAACAAAACCAAAAATAAGCAGGTGTGGTGGTGCACGCGAAACTCCATCTCAAAAAAACAAAACAAAACAAAAAATAAGCAGGTGTGGTGGTGCACGCCCGTCGTGCCAGCTACTTGGGAGGCTGAGGTGAGAGGATCGCTTGAGCCCAGGAGGTCGAGGCTGCACTCCAGCCTGGGTGACAGAGCAATATCTTGTCTCAAAAAAAAAAAAAAAAAAAAAAAGGCCGGGCGCGGTGGCTCAAGCCTGTAATCCCAGCACTTTGGGAGGCCGAGACGGGCGGATCACGAGGTCAGAAGATCGAGACCATCCTGGCTAACACGGTGAAACCCCGTCTCTACTAAAACTACAAAAAAACTAGCCGGGCCAGGTGGCGGGCGCCTGTAGTCCCAGCTACTCGGGAGGCTGAGGCAGGAGAATGGCGTGAACCCGGGAGGCGGAGCTTGCAGTGAGCTGAGATCCGGCCACTGCACTCCAGCCCCGGCGACAGAGCGAGACTCTGTCTCAAAAAAAAAAAAAAAAAAAAAAAAAAGGAAGCCATCAGCGCAGCACAGGGGAAGCAGCCCACGTGTCCCATAGCAGCCAGTCCCACCAGTCCCATAGATATTGGTTTCCCTCCTTCCCCACCCCTGCCCCGCCGCCCCCCTTTTTTTTCTCTCTCTGGGCTTTTTACTTGTTTAGGAACTCGAAGCGGTTCATGGCAAGTACCCCGAGTCCTAGCCCTCCTGTTCTCTGCATAGAGTTGCTGCAGAGCACCTCACACGCGCACAGATACACGCCTGGCTTTGGGCGAAGTCGCGACACTGGGTCTGCAGAGTCCGCTGAGCACGCATCTTCGTCGTGAAACTAAGGAGACCCTGGAGTGTCCTTGGGCTCGGGTGGGATGGAACATGCCCGTGACAGACAGGCCCACCTGCCAATCAGAAGGGAGCTCTCCTTAGCTGGTATGGGACCACAGGAGTGGAAATGGCTGTTGGGAGGTGGCAGAGACGGGAGAAGGGGTGGCCACAGGGGAGCCGCCGGCCACAGAAGAGGAAACGGAGGTGCAGGGAGCGGAGTCTGCGAAGGATGCGTGAATGGCCAAGAGATGTGCCTCGGAAAGGGCCTAGGGACTTCCTCTGACCAACCCCCGACAGCCATTCCCAGCCATCCGTTTTCCTGCAGCCTCAGATGCAACCTGTGGAAGATGCGGGAGGAGGCCCGGGAGTCCGCCCGGCAGCGCCTTCCCTAGGGTGGGAGCGGGGACTCAGGCGCGGACGCTGCTGCCACCTAGTGGGAGAAGCCTGCTACTCCTCTCGGTTCCTAACCCCAGGGTAGTTCCCAGCTGAGCACTGAGGCAGGGTCGGGGAAAGGATGGGGAGAGCCCTGTGCCCCTGGATCTGCGGACACGATGCGAGGAGGAGCCTCAGAGAGGAACCCCCAGCGCCCAGGAAGTGCGCATTGCCCACACTACATTTCCCCTCTGTGCCATGATTTCCTCCCGTGTATAAGGGAGGCAAGAGTACCTAATTCTGGGCTGGGCTTGGTGGCTCATGCCTGTAATCCCAACACTTTGGGAGGCCGAAGCGGACGGATCTTCAGAGTTCAGGAGTTCAAGACCAGCCTGGCCAACATGGTGAAACCCCATCTCTACTAAAAATACAAAAATTGGCCGGACAGTAGTGGTGCGTGTCTGTAATCCCACTATTCAGGAGTCTGAGGCAGGAGAATCGCTTGAACCCAGGAGGCGGAGGTTGCAGTGAGCTGAGATTGTGCCTCTGCCCTCCAGTCTGGCCAACAGAGTGAAACTTCATCTCAAAAAGGAAAAAAAAAAAAAGGCCGGGCGCAGTGGTTCATGCCTGTAATCTCAGCACTTTGGGAGGTCGAGGCGGGCAGATCACGATGTCAGGAGATAGAGACCATCCTGGCTAACACCGTAAAACGCCATCTCTACTAAAAATACAAAAAAATTAGCCGGGAGTTTTGGTGGGCCCCTGTAGTCTCAGCTACTCGGGAGGCTGAGGCAGGAGAATGGCGTGAACCCCGGGGGCAGAGTGTGCAGTGAGCCGAGATCGTGCCACTGCACTCTAGCCTGGGCGATTGAGCAAGACCCCGTCTCAAAAAAAAAAAAAAAAAAAAAAGAGTACCTGCCTCTGAGGGTCAGTGCAAGGGTAAATGAACCAATTTGTGCAAGGAACTTGGCCATAAATGGGGTCCAGCCAGCATAGTAAGAGGTGTCAAATAAATGCTACCCACTGGGCATGGTGGCTCAAGCCTGTAATCCCAGCACTTTGGGAGGCTGAGACGGGCGGATCACGAGGTCAGGAGATCGAGACCATCCTGGCTAACACGGTGAAACTCCGTCTCTACTAAAAAATACAAAAAACTAGCCAGGCGAGGTGGCGGGCGCCTGTAGTCCCAGCTACTCTGGAGGCTGAGGCAGGAGAATGGTGTAAACCCAGGAGGCGGAGCTTGCAGTGAGCTGAGATCTGGCCACTGCACTCCAGCCTGGGCGACAGAGCGAGACTCTGTCTCAAAAAAAACAAAAAACAAAAAACAAAAAAACATAACAAGACCTCATCTCTACAAAAAATGCAACGATTAGCCAGGCATGGTGGCACATGCTTGTGGTCCCAGCTACTCAGGAGGCTGACTTGGGACCCCCCACTTGAGGCCAAGAGTTCCAGGCTGCAGTGATCATACCACTGTACTCCAGCCTGGGTGACAGAGTGAGACCCTGTCTCTGAAAAGACATAAAATAGGCCGGGCACTCTGGGAGGCCGAGGCAAGCAGATCACCTGAGGTGAGTAGTTCAAGACCAGCCTGACCAACACAGTGAAACCCTGTCTCTACTAAAAATACAAAGATTAGCCGGTTGTGGTGGCAGGCAGCTGTAATCCTAGCTACTCAGGAGGCTGAGGCAGGAGAATCACTTGAACCCGGGAGGCGGAGGCTGTAGTGAGCCAAGACCATGCCACTGTACTCCTGCCTGGGTGACAGATGGAGACCCTGTCTCCAAAAAAATGAAAATAAATAAAACAAATGCTACCTGTGGTTGATCCAAGGGGTAACTGGAGGTGTGTGGCCCGGTGCCACCACCCCAAATTGTGCCTGTTGTCTAAATGCAGCTTCCTTTAGTTCTGGCTTTCAGCAAGATGGCCCTGCCGCAGCCCTCCTCTTTGTGAACGCTGGGGCTGCCACTATTATGGCTTTATCATCAGCGACATTCCAGAGGATGAAGACTCCCCTGATCCCAATCTCTCCTCTCCTCTCCTCTTCTGATGAGGGTGAGGGATGGGGAAGGGGTCCCAGCTCCTAGCACTTCCTCCCCTCACCCCAGAGTGCCATCAGAACAGCTCTGGGCTGTGACATCACAGAGCCCCCACCTCATGATAGGAGTCATGAGGTTGTGGCCATGGGTGCTGGTGTGGGTGTGGCTGGCTGCAATAGGGGCCATAGACACTGGTGAGAAGCTGTCTCGGGAGCAGTGGGAAGGCAGGCAGCTCTGAGGGCATAAAGGGTGATGCCCACTTAGGGACTGGGAAGCCAACCCTGCACCTTCTCCTTTTCTCTCCACTCTTCTCTCCCATCCTGCTGGTCCCACCCACCCCCCGACAACCATGGGCCTTGTCGTGGTGCACCCAGCTGACCCTGAGGGAAATCAAGACCCTCCACAGCCTCCACAATAAGGCTGGGTGGTCTCATAGGGTCCCAAGCCAGCTTCAGCCTTCAGAGATAAAGGTAGGGGTCAGCTTGGTTGTTGTCACAGACTTTGCTTGGATCCTAGCACCCAGACCCAAGCGTGCCACGGCGTCAGCCCTGGGGACAGAGTCTCCGCACTTCTTAGACAGGCCTGACTTCTTCGATTATCCAGACTCAGACCAAGCCAGGCTCCTGGCTGTGGCCCAGTTTATTGGAGAGAAACCCATCATGTTCGTTAACTCAGGTATGAACCAGCTAGAGAAGGGACCTCCCTCCCCGCCAGGGCCTGGAGGAGAGCAGCCCCCGACCCTTCCATTGGGCCATCAGAGGGGAATTAAGGGTCCTGCTTGTTTAGCAGGTTCCAGCCCCGGGCTCTTCCATCACATCCTGGTAGGCTTCCTGGTGGTGGTGGTCTTCTTTCTCCTTTTCCAGTTCTGCACCCACATGTAAGGCCTGCCCCCTTCCTCCAACCCCACCCACCACCACCTTCCTTGGGAGCAGCTGAAGAGCCCAGTTCTAGTGGGGCAGGGTGTGACCTCTCCCCTCTGATCTCCATGCCCCACAGAAACTTCCAGAAAGGGGCCTAAAGAGCCGGACAGGGGCCCCGGACTCAACCTGAGCACCCACACCCACCTCCTCTCCTGTCGATGAGCAAAAGTTCCCCACTTTTCTCCTCCCTGACTGCCCAGCGGGGAGCTGGGGATCCCGCTCCCTGTGCGTTTCCCACAGCCCAAGCCCCCCACCTCCCCCCTTCCCAGCCCCAAAGAACTTGATGGTGAGGGCCTTGGTGGCGTTCACGCAGATCGTCTTTTATTAGCGGTCTGTAAAGCACCTCCCAGGGTCCCCCGACCCCAGATTGGAGGAAGCCTTGAGAGGTCAGTAGCACCAGGGACATGGCAGGGCCCGAGGGCGCGATGTGCAGCCGATGGTGAGGGACTGGGCGCCCTCGCCTGCCCCCGGGGTTGTCAGCACTGGGAAGGCTTGGGGGTAGCAGCCACCTCTCTCCCTCAACCCCTCAACCCAACAGACTAGTTCAAATTTGGGTAAATAAATAAAATAAATAAGATTTCTCAAGCTGGCCTACCCTGGAGAGGAGCCGTGGTTGCAGCCGGCCGCTCGGGAGGCCCGAGGGCCAGCCGGGTTAGTTGGGACGTCCTCTCCTCTCGGGTGATGGGGAGCCCTGAGGGGGTGGCAGCAGAGGGGCTGGGATGGCCTTGGCAGAGGCACCTCCCCACATTCTGACTCCTGGTCCCCTTGAAACCCTGTCGGTCTCCCTCCCCACAAGCCCTCCTGCCCTCAGTGGGTGGGAGGTGGTGCCCCCTCCCCTCCTCCCGCGCAGGGGTGTGCAGGAAGGGGGCACAGTAAGGAGAAGAGGTTCCCTCTCTCCCCTCACTCAGTCCCCGAGGTATGGGTCCTCTTCCCTTTCAGGGTCATCGTCAGTCCTGGGGTTGTCCGGGCAAGAGGACGCTGGCTCCCACCCCCAGCCATCAGCCCCAGAGCCCTGTCTCCAAGGGGGTGGGGGTGGGGAGGGGGAGGGTCCTGGCCCCCGGCCTCAGTCCTGGGCCTGGCAGGCCGGGGGTGGCCGGGAGCGGGGCCAGAAGAGGCGGCAGGCCCCGCGGCAGATGAGGAAGAACCAGTAGAGCTGAGGGGCCAGGAGCAGCGCAGCGCCCAGGTTGACGTGGGCGGGGATGGCCAGGGGCACGGCCAGCAGAGGCAGGCCAGCGTGGCGCCCGTAGGCCCAGTACAGGTAGGGGAAGAGCAGCACCCGGCAGCACAGGAAGCTGAGCAGCATCAGGGCCCCGTTCACCTTGTGCAGCAGCGTGTGCTGCTGCTTGTACTGAGGGAACACGGACACCGTGGCCGCCGAGGCAGAAGGGCTCGGCCCCCCTTGGCCCTCTCCCTGCCTCCCTGCAACCCTAGCAGGCAGCTCCTCCCAGACTGGACACTTTGCCAGGACACAAGCACGAGCTCAAAAGGCAAGGGGTGAGGGGGGGAATGACGAAGGGGCTAGAGCCCTTGGCAGCAACCCTGAAGGTCCCTCCATGCCCCCCCGCATCGGGCTCCCGCACCCTCCCGTGCTCACTCACCTGGATGAGGATCTTGCCAAGGCAGACGAAGGGTGTGCTGACCTCTGCCATCAACATGCAACCCAGAAAGAAGTCTCCCTTCCCCTGTCGCCACACCTGAGCACACAGGCAGGAAGGTGAGGAGCTGGGGCTCCCCCTGGGTTCTTAGGCAGCCCCTACCCTTCCTCTTTCCCCTCTGCCACTTTTGGAGATGCTTGACTCTGAATGTCAAAATCAGAGGCGTGATTACAGAATCACGCCTGTAATCCCAGCACTTCGGGAGGCCGAGGTAGGTGGATCACGAGGTGAGGAGTTTGAGACCAGCCTGACCAACATGGTGAAACCCCGTCTCTACTAAAAATACCAAAAAATTTAGCCAGGCATGTTGGCGGGCACCTGTGATCCCCGCTACTGGGGAGGCTGAGGTGGGAGAATCACTTGAACTCAGGAGGCGGAGGTTGCAGTGAGCCGAGATCACACCACTGCACTCCAGCCTGAGTGACACAGAGAGACTCCGTCTTGGAAAGAGAAAAAAGGGAAAGAACACCTGGGTGCAGGAGCAGGTGCATGACTTGGCTGCATCCCTCTCACAGTCCTGCAGAAAGACTGTGTTCCTTATGTAACAGGTGAGGAAACTGAGGCTCAGAGATGTGCAACCACAGATCCAAAGTGCTGCAGCTGGGCATTGTCCAGCCCGGGGCCAGGCTGCCCCCACACCCTGGTGCCCCTGGGCTGGTGCTCAGTGAACCCCGCCTGTCCACAGCTTTCCCTGGAAACGTGCTGGGTCTGCTTGGCTGCCAGTACCCAGACCCAGGGCTTCCCGGGTTCCTGCCAGCACCAGTGGGACCAAGGCGCAGGCCAGCCACACCCCACCCGCCCAGCTCCCCGGGACTCACCACCGACAGCGGGAAGCACACCAGCACCATGGCGGCATGGTGGAGCACCATGAGGAACTCCTTGTGCAGGTAGCCACGTGCTATGGCCCACGTGCTGCCCGGGGCTCTGGCCACTCCGTCATCCCCTCCATGCCCTTTGACCTGGTGCTTGTGCCAGTGGCAGAGAAACATGGCGTAGATGTCGTAGATGAAGTAGGGTACAGCAAACTGCGTGTAGGCAGAGGACAGCCAGTGTCTGTTGGGCAGAGAGACAGGAGGGGCGAGGGGGTGGGTGGGTGTGGGGAGCAAGGAGGAAAGGGGACACCAGTGAGCGGGGGCAGATCTCAGGGGTTGGCACGGCAGCCCTGGACAGCAGTGGAGTCTCAGGTACAGATGAGGGATCCAGAGGGTAGAGGGTGAGAAACTTGCCCAAGCTCACGCAGTCACGCAGCTAGTAAGCGACAGTGCTGGCATTCAAATCTGTGGCCTCAGAACCCACCCATGTTCCTCTCTCTCTGCAGTACAGTGGGGGGAAAAGAAAAGAACAGAAGATGCCCACAGACCAAATGGCACAGATAGAGTGCCAAAATAAGCGCAGGCCAGGCAGGTGGGACCTTCCTTGCCATGGTTATTTGTCCTAACCTTACCATGAGGTTAGGACCAGCAACAGCTGAATGGGTGAGAGTGCTGGAGAGAGAGGTCACAGGGGTGGACCCCCATTCCTGCCTCCTGAGGCAGGCGCTCTTCCAAACTTCCCATGCATGCACTTATTTACCCCTCCCAAAACCCTGTAAAAAGTAGGTGTGGCCATAACCCCCACCGTACAGGTGAGGAAGTGAGTCACAGACGGGCTAGGTAACCTGGCCAAGAAAGGGACATGGGCAGTGGCTCCACAGCCCTCACTGCCATCCCCACTGTCCCCAGAAGGTCCAAGAGGCATCAGAGACAGGCCCTGTTGGCAAGTGAGGGGTCTTGTCAGCACTGTTTGCCCTGCCCCAAAGTGACCCCATCTCTTTTCTTGTCAGCGCTGTTTGCCCTGCCCCAAAGTGACCCCATCTCTTTTCTGTTTTGTGTTGTTTCTCAGGGACAGCCAGGCATTAAGGGGAAAATGCAGAACAAAAGGAGCCAAGGACAGAGAAAGTTCCATGTACTTGGAGAGTAAACAAAAATGAGAAATGGATGAATAGACAAGACAGCATTTTTCTTCTGGAGTCAGCACATTGCCAGTTTCTCTTAAATCCTGTAGTCCCGAGACTGGTCTGGGGTGGGGGCGGAAGGTCAGAGAAGCAGGCCCTGGGGAGCTCGCCCCACATGGGGGAGGAGGGATGAAAGAAGAGTCAGCCAGAAGTTATCACCAAACATGAGGCATGTGGAGGGAGCTGTGGAGAAGTTGGGGCTGAGGCCTCTGAGGATGGGGAGCCTAAGGCAGGCAGCCTGTGAGTGGAGCCAGCCCATTCTCCAGCAGGGACAGTACCAGGGAAAAGGGAACCTGAGACTGTGATGCAGTGGTGTGGAGCTGCGGCCCAGAGGCAGGGAAAGATGAGAGGGGAGGAGCAGCTGCAGAGAATGCGAGGCAAGAACACAGGGAGAAAAGGTCCAAGTGGCCTGGAGGAGTCAGGGGAGGAAGCTGCCCACAATGCAGGCCCAGCAGAGGTGATGGGAGATGGGGCCCGCTGGGCTGGTGCAGGAGACCAGGAGGGGCCACCAGGCCCTGGGCTGTCATGTGAGGTGTTAAATCCCATCCCCACCCTCTTGGCAATTAGGTGCTCAGAAGTAGGAACAGCTGCTGCCCTGGATTAACCCGGATCCTCCCCACCTACCTGAGGATTAAAGCAGGGAGGAAGGACAGGAACAGACACAGGGGGCCTGGGGAGCAGGGGGGGTACAGAAGCCAAAAGGTGACCTCTGCATGTGAAGGCTGGGGAGGAAGTGCTGGATCCCAGGTTCGGCTTGGAGAAGGGGTGGGGAGGGGCGGGCAGAGGCCAAGAAGCAGCCAAGTCCCTGGGCAGGGTGTGAAGAAAGAGTTAAGCCAAGAACTGTCCTCTGCAGCTGCCACTTAACTCAATTCCTCTCGATGAAGCCCTTCCAGGAAGGGCGGCTGCCTCACCACAGAAGAGGCAACTCATCTTCGGAAAAAGAGGAGGCAAACAGAAACAGGGCACCCCCCGTCAGAAGCGTCCAGAGAATGTCCCCTGGGACTCAGGGGCTGCCACAGAAGGGAAGTGGCGCTGAAAGCTACGAAGCGGGTGTTGTGGGCACCTCCAAGGCAACTTGCAATGGGCCACCCATGAGTCACCTAGGGCGGTCGTCAGCACCACGGACAGGGCCCCTCTCCTCTCCCTCCTCCGCCTCCTGCCCGCACACCTCTGGCCCTTTTTGGCAAGCACCAGGCACTGCAGCAGCTGCCTGGCCACATTTTGGCCTCTTCGCCCTCATCCCCTCCTGCACTGCCTGGCCGTGTGTGGCCTTGTGCGTGTCATCTTTCCCCTCTCCTCTCTCTCACGCATGGAGTGGGTGCCGGATGCCTGGATTCCGGGAGGGCCTGAGGGGTGAGCCTGGCATGAGGAGGGGGCACCCCATCTGGGTGCTGGAGGGAAATGGGATCTGCCTCCTGGGGTGGAAGGCAGGGAAGAGGTGGGGAACCCACGACAACGCAGGAGACCTGGAAGCCAACTAGGAAGCGCTTTGAGGATCCTCTGTGATCCCCGCTCCTTCTCCCCCTGCTTCTGACCTTTAAGGACAGGACGGGATAAATTTATCCCTGGGTGTTGAGTTGCAGTTATTGCAGTGAACTTGCTCAGGTCCAAGTTAAGGGCTTGGGGACCACGGACAGAGTTCCCTCCAAGATGTGGGGTCTTCCAGGGTTATGTGTACACACCAACCACTGGCACCTGGGCAGGGGGGTTCTCACGGCACTTACTGGTCATCGATGATGTGCTTGCAGGAGGTGGAGACGATGTAGCCGGCAGTGGAGGCCATGATGGCCTGGACAGAGGACACCAGCCTGGGGGAGAGAGGGAGGAGTGCTAGAAGGGCAGAAGGGAAGAGGCGTGTGCCTTGACTTCTCCTCATTGCTAGTCTAGCGACTGCACTTTGCATTCAGCCACTTCTCGGACCAGTCCTTGCCCGCCTTCTCCCAAGGCTGGGCTGCCTGAAATGTGCCCCACCACAGGCACCTCACGGCTCTCTGGTCAGCTCGGCTGCTGTTCCTCGGTCCACCCCACTCCT